CCACCTCGCCTTCTGCCTATATTCCATGCGAAAACTAATTTAGTTCCATTGAACATTGCACTTGTAATTCTAGAGATTCTTAATATATTAAAAATTTATAAATTAAATTATATTCATATCAACCATTTCAATAATAATCCTGTATCGCATTACGAAATTTAAAAATTTTAAAATTTTAATGAAAATCTACCAAGTAAAAGCGGCAATTATATAAGTATAATTTCGAAAAATTTTAGAAGAAATAAACTTTAAATCTTAAAAAAAATTATGGAGAGAAGTATCTTCATTTTCATAAAATGGTTGATGGATAAAGCTTGCGATATCCATCAATGATCCTAGTTCAACATAGAAAGGCTCTTATACGCGACTATATAATCGTATTAGCATTTCTGCTGAAATCCATCAACGATTTAATACGATTGCGATAATCGTTTATACATTGCAAAATCATCCATTCCTCTAGAACTAATCGTTAATGAAGTCTAACGATTGGCTGTATCAGAATTCATCTATTTTATGAATATTTTAAGGAATTTTTATAGAATCTACGGCAATTAGAATAAACATGGAAATAACGTATGATAGAAAAAAACTGATTACGATTATAATAGCAGTATCCAATGCATTCGTCACTCGCTGCTATGACGAATAAGTTTTCACATTGAGATGAATATATGAAAATTAATCATAATATTTTTTCTAATTATTTCCATGAATAACACGTATATAATATGTTTACAATCTGCAATATTTCAAAGAGTATATCTATAGAACTAAAAAGAGAAAGAGACTCTTAAAAATTTCATTTAAATATAAGAAGAAATTCTTGATAGCGACGTTATTTAATACTAGAAGTACCGAGCACTCGTTATCGATCATTTTTATTTTTTATTAATACTGTAATATTAATCTAAGTGTAAAAAGTTTTTTGAGAGATAGGATTCTGAGATTTTTTGACTTTTTAATAATTATGTTTTTTATTGAAATATTTACATTTCATTTTTTTTATTTCTTTTTATTTTAATAATTTATTCACTTCGTTCTTTTAGTGAGTAAGAAACATTGATATTTCTACTAATGAATAGTTACTTTCAGTGTATCATTCATTAACAAAATGAATAGTTTAAAATATATATATGATATGATTTCCCAATTTATTGTTTAATCTATTTTGAAATGATATTGTAAATGCAGCAAAAGAAATCTATACGATTAGTACAATTTTCATATAACGTTGTTCCAAGACAGCGCAATGCTTCCGCGATAATTATATCAAATTTGTTCTCACGAACGCGAGACTTCAATCGCGCTTCTCGTACCGCACTAGATTTCCTCGTAAAACATGCTCGAATCCACTTATTGTATTATATATATAAAACATCGACAATTGTCTCACGATCCGGCGGTATTCCTTAAGTGAGAAGAAACGGTTAAGTCATTTTGTCCTAACAATAAATAATCTGCATTACATAATATTGAAGTAATGTATTGCAACAAATCGATCACATTAATGCTCCGAACAATTATGATTACGACATAATCGTGAGAAAAGATTACAATGTAGCAAGTTATAATATTTGAATATATCTATGTTGCGAATACATTAAACTTCATGAAAATCAGAGCGAACAAAGCGAGAAAGTATGAATTATCAGTAATCTTCATAGTCTCTCTTCACAACAATTGCATTACATCAGTGACAAATCATTCAAAAAGAAAGACAAGTTGTCCTTGTCATCTCTCTCTTGTGCGCTTTATTCTTTTCATAATTTCTTTATTATTATACAACGATACTTACCGGATTATGTGAAGCAATAATTAGCTGTTGAATTTCGTAATCGTGAATTACAAGGAAGAGGATTGAGATAATTGAAATATGTAATAATTTAACTTATAAGAAGAATTTCTGCCATACGTAAGATGAATTCTTAAAAAATATTTAAAAAATGAAGATTTTCTTTAAAGTCTTGAAAAATATAAGAAATGAAGATTTTTTTTTAAATTTTTACTTTTTCCAAAGTAGATCTGGCGTGTTAAAGAAGAAATATCTGCTTGTTTTACTCACATTGTACATATTTTACAACGTTATTATTTTGAACAATTATTTTCTCTTTCTATCATCTTCTTCTTCTATAAACAAATATGTCATTAAGAAAAATGTCATTAAAAGTCATTAAAAATTTTTTTAATGTGTGCTTTGCTACATTGATTAACCATTACGGCAAAAGCCATAAATAAAGTACAGCATTTCTATAGTAACAATCAAGAACATTTTAATGAAGCCCCTAGCTATTGTTAGCTTATTTTATATTTCACAACTTTAAAAGCTGATATTACTCCACACAGTTTGCGCAAATAAGAACCCTCTTTAGCGGCTATACGTTAAAAAAGTTGGTCGCCATTATAAATTCTCTTATATGCATAAATATTCTTTTTGTATTTCACTGTTCTCTAATGAGAGATTTTTCAAACTACTTTCTGATCGGGTAACGAGGACTTAGTATGCAATTTCCCGTACGTAGAAAACGAGAAATTTAATCAAGGTCGTTAAGATCCATCTTTTTGATTGATGTTCTTCACGGGTTGCATATTGATGCGAGAATCGATTCGTGGGTATATCAGTACAAGCACTTGGTGCAATCAGTGTGTCATAACTGACGCACGTCCGTTTCTACATCTACATCTGTTCATAAGCTATGAATAGGAGCATTCAGATCGCGATCCGTGAGAATATTAAAGTAGTGGGATGCGCACCCATCCTCGCTAATCACGACTGACCTTCGTGCGAACGATCGTGACGGTGGAATCGGTGCTCAACCGACGCGATGCAGTGGACAGATATACATATACATAGATTCAGAAGATTTAAACGCCTTCTTCTTGTGGATCTCTTAGCGTTTGCCTCTTTTTCTGAATCCGGGAAATATCAAAGACAACGTAGAGAAGCATCTAGCCGTGTCTACGTTTGCGCCATCGCTTATTCATCGCACGTTTATCGATGACGAGAGCCCTTCCTTCAACCATAAATCGTGATATTATAAGCCGAAGTTATCTTGAATATGGCTCGACTGCAAAAAGGGGATTAGATAGGTTGCTCATGTTAGAGAAATCCATTTAGGAACAAGGAAAAATATAAGACGGAGACTCTTTTTAGCACTCATTAATTTTTTTAGCTTTAGTTTTTTAACGAAATTAAGTTTTAACTTTATTTTTATATTTCTTATTTGCTATTTATGTATGTATTTTATACTCAATAACTGAATAGATTGAAAGAGTGACAATTCTTTTTCTTATAATAAATTATTATGAAAATAATTATTGTGACTGATTGAAGGAGCATGAAAAAATTATAAATTATCTAGATCTATTTATTTTAGATAATTTATAATTTTTTCGTGCTCCCCCAATCAGTCACAATTATTTTTGAATATATTTCATATATTCAAAAGCATAGATCTCGATGTTCTAGATTACGTTTCTACATTTTAAAAATTGTATTGTATTATCTTGAATAAAGTATGTTGTATGGTAATTATGTTTCGTGCATACGATTTATTATATGAAACAAGTATAAAGATATACATAACTTAGTGAGACACGATTCTAATTGTAAGTCTATTAACTGGGGCAACAGAATGCTGGGGAAACTAGAATCCTTACCATATGCTGAAGCTTTGTGTTTCATCATTTAAATTATTCTCTCTTATCTTTTTTCTTAGACTTTATAATAATTTCTTTAAGGATTAAAACATAATTTCCAAGATAATTATATTTTTTGTTAAACTTAAAAAATGATATTTCAGTCAATTATATCCCGTACATAAATAAATGATAAAAAAAATTTTTCAAAAATAGCAAAAAAATTAAAATCACATGTTACATTACTTTTAGTAAGACAATTTATTAATAATATTTATTTAAAATGTTAATAATTTTAAATTAATTATGAATGATATGGGAACACTGTTCGATTAATTACAAATCACACAGGTAAAACGTTGGTTGATGTTGCGAAATCGCTTGCTTGCCAAATTCGGTACTGATTTTGTAATTTGATTTCGGCAAATGGGAATTACCGTAACAAAGATTCAATAAGGATTTAAACTTAGGATGTCAAGAGTGCTTCATAAGGAAACTGCTTTCCTCCAAATCCAAATCTTGATTACGATGAAAGTGCTGTCTTTGTTCCATTTTCGTCGTTTGCCCTGACAATTCTTATTCTAGAATCTATTCTCAACGTTAAATTTACGCTGATGAATTTCAGGACTACTTCTTTTCAGAAGTTATTTTGATGTATTGATCCTTTGTAAAAGAATGAATAACGATTAGTGAATTTATAAAATTATGAATAAAGATTACTGATTAATAGAATATATATATATAGAATATATGTCTATATATCTAATAATACAAAGTTGTAAAGATAGATACAAAGATTAAATATAAATCAAACACAATAAAAATACAAGTTAACAATGAATCTACGTATATAAAATTTATTATCTAAAGATATAAACTAAGAAAATGTAAATGCTTCAACCTTTAGTTTTGAGTCTTCTTTAATACAATCATTAAACAGTAATTACATACAACGAGTTAACTATAAAATTATTTTAGTAAAAAATCCGGTAAATGTATGGTATGACTGTTGTCATAGTGAAGTGCATAATCAAATGGTAGGGATAATTAGGTGTCCAAAAATAAAATAATAGGATTATTATTAGAATATAAAACTATAGTCGCAGAGATTTGAGTTATCAAAGTTAATGTGATCAAATGTAGTATCAAAACCGACGTATAATGATATTATACATATGATGATATAAAGTTTAAAAAAATAGATATATGCAAATTAAACATATAAAAATTCCATGAATGTTTCAAGCAAATTTTATACTAAGCACGGTGAAAGTAAAATTAATGCATGCGTGGGTGCAAAATTTACATCATATCAACACGATATTACCGTATTGATGTTACATCCATCGGATCTTTAGATACCACTTAATCGCACGGTGAAAATTGAAAGCAGAGGAGTCCGAGATTCATTACTTTCCTGTGCGAATGAAAATAGCGTGCCTGTTTTATAATTAACGGGACGCATGACTTATTTATTGCTCCATTTTATTATGAGATGACTCAGCGGGAATGTTAAAATATTACTGTAACATTTTTTTGTGCTTAAATCATGGGAGATAAGGAGATGTTGATTATGTAATCATATTCGAATATGGATGCACAGTACATAGTATGTATTTTGAACAATTCGTTACGTAATACATGCTCACCTATCAGCTTCCTTCATTGCTTTTGCAATCGCCTCGTTAAACTGGAATAGAAACTTTGCGCGCGGGAGCAATCCACAGTATACCAGCACGTGCAGACCGGTCTCTCCTGATTAAATAACGTACCATTCGGACAAAGGAACGAATCCTTACGGCCGCCGCGTTGGCAGATGTGATATGTTTGGCGGTCTCAGGGTCGGCGTAATAATCCGGTTGTTTCCATTCGCACACGAATCGTGTTCACGGAACTCGGTAGAAGATCGGATAATCCCAACTTCATCAGGGATTCCATCATTATTCGATCACTGATAACGTAGATCTTCATATTTGTGTCCGCGATTGTAAAATAACTGCTTGTTGTATAAATATCCTTTGTGTACGTATAAACAGGGTAACATAACAATTGTAAGCATGGTACAATTCTGAACGAAATAAAATGAGATCAGGATTACTAAACTTGAACCTCTAAATTAGATATTTTATTTAGAATTGTACCATGTTCGAAATTGTACCATGCTTACAATTGTTATGTTACCTAACTTAATTAGCTTTTACAGAGTGAATTTTAGGAATAGATTTTTTAATTCACTTTCTAATCTAATGTTTTTTTAATATTAAAGCATATTTTTTTAACTGTAAGCTAAGATCTAATTAATATATTTTTTTAAATATTAAGATAATATTGATATTTTTAAACTAAAATTTAATTAATGTTTCTTTAAAAAATATTACACGGACATATTTTGACTATAAATCAAGATATTTAATTAATGAATTTTCTTCTTTCCTAATTTTAAATTAGAATCGAAGCTAAAAAGCGAAAAAGAGGAATAATCTTGTTTTTCATGCTCATAAATTTTATTTTATTGAAGTTTAACGTTAATGATGAAGCTGTGTACTTCTATTAAGAATGTTAATATCTTTGCGCTACGAAAAGATTTAATACGTACTATACTACTTGCGAGAGTAATCATTATGACGAGTCCTAATTTAAATACCATGATCAAGTCTAATAAAGGAGTTTCAACCAACAAGTCACTTCGGATTGTATTAAATCATAGAATATAAACTCAGTCTTTATATAGTTCTCAGTTCAAATATACATTCCAAATTATTATTCTCTATGTAAATTAAATTTTATTTAAAATAACGTATCCTTCGATTGAAGATATGATAGCGAAGGTAATTAGTATTTCGGCAATTAAAAATTATAAATAAAACAAGGACTCATCTTTTTCCCAAGGTGCTGTGGCTAACAATACAATTTCCGATTAATAATCATCCAGAGTATTGGGAATAAAAGGTAATTTTGTCAAATAAATCATTTGTATGATGATTAATCCCTGCTGCGTTTTTTATCCGATCTGCATAGAATAACGTCTTAATAACTTTATTGTCAATTCTCTATAATCCTTCTCATATTCTATTTTTATCCAGAAATTCATTTCATAGTTATGTTCTTTTTAAGGAAATTTCCATTTATCGAATACATTTTCTATTTTCAAACAAAATCTAAATCGCGCGCGTTTACTCAGCGTTGCTTGACGCATGTCGAGCAGTCGAACTGATGACTCAGTAATATGGCGGAAGTCCGCACAGCTGCGAACAGCTGACTTGTAGCTGTACGCTGCTGTATATTGCTATACGATTTCGCGTAGTCAAATCATTACATGGTTTTCTTTGTGTAATGTTGAGATTTTACTTAACGAAGTGATGATTGGCGAAATACTTTAATATATTCAGAAAGGTGCAGCACACAATAAGGAGAAGTGTTCAACACGTGTATAGCACGTGTGTTCATTGAATATTTCTATAAACATTGAATTCCTTGCATTTTATTAAAAATTCTTTATAACATTGGAATCTACTTATTACGACACTCGATTTTCTTCTGTTCACCACGCATGTTTAGCCATTATTTGTGTTTGTAATTATACATATATTGATAGATTTTATGAAAATGGAATCTTTCCAATTAAATAAGGGCTTTTTTGACTTGTGTGTAAATGTACCGGAAGGAGAAATAGATAATTTGAATGATATTTTATTGAGATTATATGAAAGTAAGTTAAATGTGAAAGTAAAACTAAGAAGAAATTAATTGTTTAAAAATTAATTTTCGTTATCTTATGAATTTATTTGGCTTTAGTGGGTTATAGAACAGTTGCATTAAATCAAACTGTAAATGAAAGTGTCATGGATAGTGATAAAAAAAAGAAGGATGAAACTAAGCAAGTAACAAGTGTGGTACCCGATCCAATTGATGTTTCAAAATTGAATGAAAAATGGAATGGAAAACTGAGTATACTTAATAGGCTAACATTTATTTGTTCAAGTTCTATAAAAGCGCACACATTGGTATAGTTTTACGTCTATCTCTAATAAAATTTGTATTGAAATCATTTATTTTGAAAGATAAAATAATTTAAATTTTGACATAGTTTAAATAAAGTATTGATATATGAACTTAAGTAAGTAGATGACCACAGTTCCTCATGCACAGTTAGCTTAAAAACTTTATTCTGAAGAAGGAAAATAAAAAGTACTAGTTACTCAATATTCTTAAAATTAATTAATTTTACATTTCTCATAAGAGTACAAATAATTTAAATTTATATATATTATTAAAAAATATAAGTGTAAAAATTAAATTTATTTGAAATGTTTTGAGCATCTATCTGCTTAAAGATTAAGGTTTCTATGATGTCTATCAAAAACAAACATTTATACTAAGCTATGTTACATGATTTTCAAAATAAAAGATTTATCTATTGAAGTAATAAAATATGTTGTATTAAATGTAATTTTGTTATTATAGGCACAATGTCCAAATTTAAGAAAATATGATATATATGCTCTTGTGCCAATCAAGCAAGATATGTTGGAGGTTGGTTATATTGAACTTATTTATTTTTTATTTATATTGAATTTATCTCTTTTTTATTTTAGTTTGCTTGTCAAACCATAAAAGTAGATCTCATTACGATAAAGCCAGAAATTTCTGGTATAAAAATAAATCGAAAAGTATATCGACAGGCAATAGCAAGAGATCTGTATTTTGAAATACAGTACGTAGATCTTTTGAGACCAGAAACACGTGTAGCGGCTCTTCATCGTTCTTATCAATTACAAATGTGCCGCGTAAGCATGGTATGTATATAGTTATTATAATATGCATTGGCTACATATATGTAGATATTAAATTCTCATTTAAATCAATTTTACTTCATTGCGCATTGTTATAGTAAATAATACAGTTTTAAATACGCTTGTTTTATCAATGTGTTAAATCAATCTATTTTTATGTACAGAATATAATCATATCCAGTGGTGCAAACAATAGGAATTTGATCAGAAATCCTTACGATATCATAAATCTGTATCCTTTGAATGTACTGAATTTTATAAAATATAAAAATTTATTGACGAAATTATGCTTAAAAGCGCGTTGCATAGACTATATTATCCATAATTATTTAATTTTTATTATGGCGCATAGTGGATGTGTGTTGGGTTTGAAACGAGATAAAATAAAATCAGTTATATTAAACGAATGTCAACTTTTTCTTTTAAAAGCAAGTAAGTCATCATAATTTATTAAATCCACATTTTACACGAGACTGAATTAGAAAGATTTATTATTTTATGTATTTCAGAAAAGCGGATATTTGGCAAGTCAGTGTTTACGATAGAGATTGCAAAAAAATCAGATGTAAATGAGGATGAAGAAATAGGAAAGAAACGAAGAAAAAAGTCTTTAAATTAGAAAAATTTAACTTTTATATTCTATTTAATAAAAATATATTCTATTAAATGTTTTTAATAAACTAATAACATGTTTTTTTTTAATAAATTATATTTATATAAATATATATATTATCTAATTTCTATTTCATGATTCTTGTAAATACAACAGTATCATTTATGCATGCAATTGTTTTTGCTGAGTATTCGATCGTTTTTTAGAATTGCACGAAATTTACCTAGAAGAGCCATCTGTTAGTCTATTTTGTACTTTTCTTGTAAGACATTGTATATGCATGCTTATCTTACTATTTATGTAATGATAAAATGTTACAATATTAATAATATTAAATTATTAAAATACTAAATTATAAAATTTGTTCTGGATTT